TTTTTCCCCAGTGGGTTTTTTTTTGAGGTGGGTGGGGGGGCTTCCGTATTTTTGGTTAAGCCATCTGGCAATCCTACTAGTAACATCTGTTTTGTGAAGTAACTCTTATTTCTGTTTATATTGATGAAGGCTTCACTCTTGTGGCTTTTCTTTTAAAATACAGCTGTTTCTGAATAGGCAAAGACTTTGAGCCAATTGCACAAAATTTCCCAAGGCCTATGAGATTCAAGAGGGCAATTTTTTTCAATTAAAAGTTTTTAATATAGATCAGTGAGCACGAGTATGTGGTCAGCTTTCTAACTAGAATTGCATTTAATGTTCTTTCCAGTGATGTTCCTTTCCCCAACTCTTTAAACAATGTAACTGTAATCTGTCAGTATCACTTTCTCTCCTCCACTCTGTCTCCACTGCTGCTGTTTGCCAGTGGCAAGTGTATTTTTAGGTCTTACTGATGGTATAAAAGCTAACTTCATGACATTCTCTGGGCATACTGCTTGTGAGAGATTGCATTCTCTACTTACTGTTTTTCCAAGCAATCCTTAACCTTTGATCTTGAGAAGAGAATAGTAGATGAATCTTTTTTCATTTTGTTTACTTAGTTTGTCATCAGGCATTTGATTAGCATTTATGTACAGAGCACACATTTCACAATCATCTGTAATATTATTAAAATACTAGGAAGACCACGTCATAAGTTAAGTTGGTTTGGAGGTGATAGTGGTGGCACTCACCAGAAATTGAGATATGGCTGAACCTGGTAGCCTTAGAGATCTGCGCTTCTGTTTTATTTGCTTGCTTTGCATTTACTAATTTGCATCCTCTATGCTTTTATTATTGCTGTTGCTTAAAATATCTGGTTCCTTCTGTTAAAATGTTTTAAAGTGTATTATGACTCCAAAAAGGTTGAGCTCTTGACTAAAGTGTTTGGCCTGTGCTACAGCTAGGGATATTAGACAGTGGGTAATAGAATAGTCAAAGAACTGCATGAATTCTTAGGGGTTAGTTGACTATTCTATAGTCCCCGGAGGCAGAGCCAGCATCCGGTGTGCTCCTGGCCCCATTTCCAGGGAGTCTCCTGTAACGCCACGCTGCTGCTTCTCTATCAGAGGCAGCAGTGTGGGGTGCCAGGTGAGAGCCAGTCTGCGAGGGGAGAGAGTTGAAAAACAGTTCTCCGCGCAGACTGGTTGCCCTGCGCTGCTGGCCCTGATACAGAGGCAGCAGCGCAGGGTTGCAGCAGCCTCTGTCTGCGGGGGACAGAGGTTGGTCTCCCAGCAGCAGCCCCTGTCCATAGGGGGTCTGAGCTCCCCATGGACAGAGGCTGCATCTCCGGGATGCCAGTTACCACCAGGACCAGCTCTTTGGCAGCCTTCTCCCTCCTTCCCTCCCCTCCCCCTGTGCTGCTGCCTCTAATCCTCTGATACAGGCAATAGTGGGGGGATGGGAGGGGAGCAGCACCGCAGAGCACCGGCTCCTGCTATCCTAGCAAGGGTGGAGGAAATGCAAGTGGTTGACTAGATTAACGGATAAACCATGGCTTTACATCCCTAGCTACAGCAAGGAAAATTAAAGAGTTTTCTGATTCTGTAGCAGTTATCAGAAAATGGGTGGGAAGCAAGTGGCTAAAATGAGTGCAGGGTTGGACGGTGCCTGGATATCTTAAGAGCAAAGGAGCTTTTTGGCAGAGGGGGCAGAAGAGGTGATCTTCAACAGGATTTTTATTCTCCCACCCTGCAGTCATTCAGTTTATGAATGAAGAGAGGGCTTTCTACCAATAATATTCCCAAAAAATCTCTATGGATGAGTGAGACTGATGGTGAATGCCCTCTGTCTGATTAAAACTTAATCTTTGATCGTGGCAGTATAAATGTCCTAAGGCTGTCTCAAAGATACCCTAGTGGGCAGGATTAACAGGTAGATTTAGCTGGAGAGGTCAGCGATATTATTTGTTTTACTTGATTTGGAAAACCAGCTGGGCTACTATTCACTGTTGTTTTTATTATTATAGAGAAAAGGCATGCTGAACCATGGTTCCTTTGTCAATAAATACCTTGGTTTGAACCAGTGGTCTAATTTATTGACATTGCAGCTAATGTCAGTAAAATAGGAGTGTGTGTGGAACAGGCAAATCTCTCCCTCCTGGAAAGTACATTGTATGTAAGTGTAAGATTTATTTATATTTGTATGGGTATGAATGTATTTTTAAAAAACTCGTATTCCTCTTTTAAAGAGTTCTAAACTCTGTTTCAAAATTGCATTTTTAGAAAATCATTCAACTTTTTAAGTACTCTTTTTAAGATTGCTGAGTCCTAAGAAAGCCACAAATATCCTAGTTTTGAGGGTCACTGTTTGGGGTGAGGCTTATTAGCATGTACTGTACGGAAACATTTTGCTGACTACTAGTTTGCCTGCAGTTCAGATGAATGATTGTTTTTCTCTTGGTTTGAATGAGTGGTGTGGTGTCCTCTGTGGTACTAAACATTGGCAGATTGAGTTGATGAATAATAAGATGCATGCGCACTTGGGCTGTGCCCTTTTACCTACTTTACTGACAAACATGTGATTGCCTCAGAAATGTGCTGGCAGGGGATGCATGGAGCAGATTATTAAACTGGCTTTTGAGAAGCAAAAGAGAATTCCCCTAATGGAAAGGGCTTCAAGAATTTTTTTTTTATTTTTTTTTTGGTTACACAACCAGTATGTAGTATTCTGAAAATGCTTTTAAAAAGCAGTAGTTTTGGGAGACTGAAGTTCCCCTCATTTGCGAGGAAGAACTGCTACAGAATTTTTCCTACCACCCCAGCAGAGTGCTCCCCTTCCCCTCCCTGCTAAATTTCCCCAAATCTCCTTGTATCCTCCTTTTCCAGTCAACTAGTTATATGCAGTGTTGCCAATTTAGTCATTGACTGGAAATATGAATGGAAATTGAATCGTTAATATACATTTGAAAAGCATATGCATACAGTATATGATAAAATACTTACATCTATTATGCTTTTTAATCTATTATGCTTTTTAAGGTACAAAAATATGAACAAAGACTCTCACAGCTGGGTTTTTTTCTGGAAATGTTGGTATTTTTGTTTTGGCGATGTTGGCCAACCTAACAATTTCAAATTATGATTGTAAATAAGGTCAAGGAAAGCTCATTCAGACAGCTAACTGGGGAATGGAGGGAAAAGATTTCAGGACCAGACATGAACACGCCTATTCTGCCTTGGTATCCCTCAAACACAGCTGAGTTTCTGAAGTGCTCATTTATGGGTCATATTGGGTTACAAATCACTTTAATATTGAATAGAGAGGTAATGAAATGTTAATCTTTTTGACTAAAGGGCAGTAGAACTGTATTTAGCTTATCCTGGCTTAAGGGGTCACCCTCAGTGGTTAATTTTTGCTAAATCCGGGCCTCAGCACATCTAAGATTAGTATTTCATAGTCCCAGGACCTCTGGGCTTGTTACATCAATTATCAATAAATCTAATAAAATGGTTGTGAAACAGTTTTAGTTATCATTATTCCATATAGCCCACCTTTGCCCTCATGGTCTCTCCGTTGTCCACTGTCAACCTCCTGTATATTTGAACACCGCCCCCGATTTCAGTTGCTGAGGAAAAGGCTGCTGCTGAAAGAAAACTATTGCCATGACATTTTCCATTCCTTTTGGAGGGTAATAATCTAAGCAACAGACAGTCTTTCTTTTCAGGGCTTATACTAAGGTGGTTCTCGTTGCATTGCTTTTTTCTTAACCTTGCCACCCCAAAAGTAAAGGTTTATTTTTCCATGGGAGCTAATATGTCTAAAATATTTTTAAAATACTTATTACCTAACCCCTTTGCTAAAACTAATACGTTTTGATGGTGATGCTGTTTGATTTACTAGTTGCAGTTGTCTGTCTTTAGATAATGGAAAGAGCATAGTCGATTTCACGTTGAGGTTCTCATGCACTAGCCAAGTAGTACTTAACCTTTTCAACCATTCTTTCCCTTCATTTCAGCCAGTTTTTAATTTCTATCCTGTAATGCTTAAGAAGACTCCTTTAGAATAAGAAATAAATTGGGTTTAACTTCATTGCTCCCATTAATCTGCTGATTAATTCATATGGCTAACACCTGCTGAAAATATGACCCTGAATATTAAAATATTCTATTTTCTGAAGTCCTCAGTAATGAGTTTAGTAGGATATAGAAAAAGTGGGGAGGAAAGGATCTTTATGGAGAAAATAGATTTGCAGCCAAATCATAGACTCAAATCAGGCCAGTGTGGAGGGTTCTGCTCATTGAGGGGACTATTCAAGTACCTTTTGTTCTAAATACTGTAGGTGTAAAAGCTAATGCTATATCTCTGTATATAGCTAAATGGAGAAGTTTATTTACTACTTGCTCTGTACTGTTTTCTGAATGTAAAGCCATCGGACTGTTCCAACTGTACTCTCAGGGTTTGTATACACTGCAGTTAGACACCTGCTGCTGGCTCATGTCAGCTGCGTGGGGCTTGCGGGGCTTGGGCCAATGGGCTAGTGGGCTGTTTAATTGCAGTGTAGCTGTTCAAGCCTAACTGTAGCCCAACCTCTGGGACCCTCCCACATCTCAAGGTTCTAACACCTGAGACTAAACATCTACACCGTAATTAAACAGTCTGTGACCCTGAGTCAGCTGACATGGGCCGGCCACGGGTTTTTAATTGCTGTATAGATACACCCTATGTGTATATAAGTGGGAGATCAGACTATTTATAGACTCACAAATTAATCCCAGAAGGAGATCATTAGATCATCTACTGAGATTTCTTCCAGTTGCACAGACCATAGATCTGAAATAGGCCATATAAAATTGGGTAGTGCTGGACATAATTACAGCCTGCTTTGTGATGTCTTCCAAAAATGTTGGGAAATTGAGAAAGCCAGGGATGTTTCACTCAAAATGAAGTAGCTTTTGGACCAGTTGTTTCTATGGGATAATAAAATCAGATTTATATAATTTTAACCCTTTTTCTTTTGGCAGAATACTTTCTGAAAATGGCAGAAGCTCATCAAGCCGTAGCATTTCAATTTACAGTAACTCCAGATGGGATTGACCTGCGAATGAGCCATGAGGCTCTCAGACAGATCTATCTCTCTGGTCTCCATTCCTGGAAAAAGAAGTTCATCAGATTCAAGGTATTGAGTTTCCGTTGATTTGAATGCATAATCCAGATGTATTTGATATTTTGAAAATTTGCTTGGATTTTGCATGAGTAGAACTAAATAATTGATGTAACTATAGGAAATTCTATTAATCCTGATTTAATCAAATCTTTTTATTTTAATAGGCCAATATTGTTCTCAGTTAAGTGCAAACATTGAGTTATGCTGAAGAATTTAGCACGAAGTGATATTGTGAGGAAATAGCAAAATATTTATGTGAAGGCTAATAATGAGGCATTTTTATTTGCCTTTTATATATGACACCAAGGTGCTATTCTAAATTTTATTCCTGGAGGAATTCTGTGCCAAAAACTTAAATTTTATCGGTTAATGATCCTGGTTAACTGCAACAACCCCCGTTTTCCTTGCATGTCATTTAAAACTCAGGCTGGCTTAGTCCCAGCCTGCCAGTCTGAGTTTTAAATGAAGAGTATGCAGGGGAGCTACCTGCTGCCCATGAGATGCCAGAGCAGCCTCTGTCTGCAGGGAGCTCAGGATAGGGCTGCTGCTCTCCTGCGCTGCTGCCTCTGTATCAGAAGCAGCAGCATGGCGTGGCAGGGGACTCCGCAGGAGTGGGGCTAGGAGCCAGGAGTGCCCTGGTTGCCCTGCCCTCTCCCGGGGAAACATTAAATAACTATGTAACTGCTAAGAATTGTTACAATTTTACACAATTGTTAAAATAAATGATTTCCGAGATCCCTAGTTTCAGGGATTTTTGGTAAATTATTTCAAAATAACGGCCAGCAAGTATGTCTGCAGCAGTATAGACTCTGATTTCCCCAGGATCAGAAAGTTAGAGACCCCCCTACAACAACTCAGTTCTGGTTTCTCTGTTATGCTTCTGTTGGGCATCTCAGTCTGGTGTGTCACATGTGCCAGCTGGACATCTTGAGGAGTAAACTTTGCCCCTCCGGTTTGACACCTGCACCCTCTACCTCTCAGAGCCAAATTGCAGTCCAGGCACCTGCACCTCTTTCCTGCCCTGCCCTCCAGCCCAGACACTTCTCTCCAGAGCCTAGCTGAATGATGCTCACTCAGCCCAGAGTCCCTTACTCACCAGAGTCCAGGGATCCAGAGAGAGAAACAGCCTGATACTGGGTCCTGGGCTCATACAGAGTTTCCTGCATGTTGCCTCCTTGCTTCAGGATGGGCTGGGAGCTGCAGCTACCAGGAACCCTCCAACTCCCCCATTCCCTTCCCCTTGATAGTGTCCTGTATATATAAGCTAGAGAGTAGGGAAGTTAAAATGGTTAACCATTTTAACTCTGCTGCCAGACCCCTGTTATGGCTATGAGGTGCTGTTGAGGCTTTAGCTGGCTTCCACTGGAGTTAACCAGTAAGCATAGCAGTGAGCCTCGTGCCTACCATTGTGTTTACTGTTTAACCATTTAACATCCCTACTAGGGAGCTGTGCTCTGCTGAGTCTAGCAGCCTCTAGTGCTGGCCAGCAGCTCTGCGGCACTAATTCTGCAGGAAAAAATGAAATTCCTCGCAGCACATTAATTTTGCATAAATTCTGCATTGCATGGTGGCACAGAATTTCCCCAGGAGTAAAATTTAAATAACACTGCTGTTGGTGTTCTCCTTGTGCTCTTCAGTTAACAATAGTTCAGATCTTCAAATCCCCAGAAGAAGCATAGCATAGGTTATCACGTTAAGTGGTCACATTGTTAATAAGACCAAGAGAGAACTAACATAGTTAAAATTAAAATAAAGAATAGATTGAGAAAAGATTGTCACTCTTGGTTAAACAAAATTTTGGCTTCTCTAGGCCCCAGTATTGCAAACATGTACACGTCTCATTACTTAGAGAAATCTCAGAGTTATTCCCATGTTTAAAGTTATTCACATACATAAGAATTAAAGCCCTGGTTGTGCATACTTTCTATCAGAATTAAGTTTCCAAAAAATAAAAACAAATATTGATGAAAACATGGTGACTTTTTGAAGATTCTGATGTTATATAAGTGTCTTTTAGTAAGTTAACATTAGATAATGGTCCTCTAATGTATAGAATGCTTACAAAATCAAATCTGGGTTTTACATTAAATTCTAAGTATTGAGGTCTAGATTTTTGTGAATTCACTGGGCTTTTTGCGGGGGAGTATCTGTTTTTACATTATGCATATTTATGCACAATTACTGTGAGTGTAGACAGACTTGTCTGAACTGTGAAATGCTGAAATATTTAAAATAGCTTTACTATAAATACACACACACATTTGAGATTCTTCTACAACAGCGTCTAGATAACTGTTTAATTATATACAAATCTTACCTGTGCTTTTAGAATCCAAATTGGTAAAATCTTGCTACCACACTGAGCATCTGATTTTGAAAGGCCAGTTTCAGCTGAAGTGGATGGTCCATTAAATAGTTACTTGTGTTAAAGAGGTTCATTCATTCCAGCCTCTCTTTAGCAGTCTTCCCCATCTCAGAGCCGAGCCTTTGCTGGTGCCGCTTCACGCCTGCACGAGGCTTGCAGTTCCTTGTCTTCCCCCAAGTTATGCCCATGTTTAAGTGTGGGAGGAGGCATTGTCCCTGGCCCCTCCTGATTCTGGAACCATCGTGAACAGTAATATATAATCTCTAAGCTCAATTCATCCATCATTTTGATAGAATGGCTTCTGAATCTCAGTTATTTCTTCCTCCAATCTAGTCAGCTCATCTGTGTCCTTTTCCTTGTTCTGAGTTAGATTGAAAAATATTGGAATTTGTTTTGTACTTTATTGTATTGTTATTTTGGCATGGTAAAGCTAAGTAAGGTATTCTGTTTTCCAGAATGGAATTATCACAGGCGTGTATCCTGCTAGCCCATCGAGTTGGCTTATTGTTGTGGTGGGGGTGATGTCAACTATGTATGCTAAAATTGATCCTTCTTTAGGAATAATAGCTAAAATCAACCAAACCCTTGATACAACGTAAGTAGACTGGCACCTATTGCTGTTTCCTCTGAACTAGTCAGGTTTTTTTTTAATGCAGACAAGCATTTCTCGTGTAAAACAGACCTATAATCTAATAGACTTCCACATGCCAAGTTTTAAGTTAAAGAGCTAAATCATAGTACAATATGTAATATGTAAGTCACCATGTTGGTATTACCACCTCATTTTATTGGCATGGATAGTATCTGAGGAGTACAACTGTCAGCTTTTCATTTAACAAGAACAGACAGCACAGGTGATGTGCACAGGGACTGAAGTACATTAACAGATCATGTAAAGAGGAATCTTCTATAACCCTGCTCTACAATGTGCCTGGCTTAGGCTTGTGCTGTTAGTTATCTGTGAGTGCTAAATTCATTCACAATTTTAAGAAAATATTAGCGGGCGGTGCTTTGTGCTCACTACGCTCACCAACCCTCATCTGTCTGTCTAATATGATATATAAATAAAATATGAGATATATTTATATATCTCCCTCAATGGGATGTTTCATCTGGAGACTGACCTGTATATATCAGGACCCTATCTCTATGTCTGAAAAAAATGCAAAAATATTTAACACATTTCAAGTGGTATTGTCTAACTGTGTGATTAAAACTGTGATTAATCATAATTAATTTTTAATCACAGTTTTTTTTAGTTTGTGTGAGTTAAATGTGATTAATTGATAGGCCTACTCTCAATTGAAAAAACTGGACTTAGCCTGAAGAAAAAAACTAGCCTGGCAATGGCCTCAAAAGGTGAAGACTGTTTATCCACAACCTAGGTACTGCATTGACAGCTGAAGTACAAGCTGTATCACAGCACCTTTCAGTGTGTTCTCCTTCCTGAGCAGGATAGATAATCTCTAGGGAGTGAGCTGAATGACAAAGAAAGATTTGCTTCTTTCTCCTCTTTGAGTTTGCCTAGATAAGAAAAAGATTTAACCAGAGTAGTTTCCTTTGTATAAATGCAAGTTAACGTCTTTTACCTTAATTTCTGTTGCTCAAGGTCAACCCTGTGGGGAAGCCTAGGGAATTACACCAGTGAGGAATTAGGCATATTGGTGTTTCTGCATACATTCCTTATTTTCTCCGCATTCTAATAATCCCCTGTCTCTGGAATACCCCTTACATGTGTGCACACAACTGCTCTTATGTGGGGTGTTGGCAAAGAAAGTGGCAGAAGTACACTGCCAATATAGTTTCTCTGTGCTGGAGGACTTCAAACCACACAATGATTTCTTAGTGAAAGGTTAGCTCTTGGACTTTTATATAGAGCTGGGGTGGGCAAAATATAGCCTCTGGGCCAGATCCAGCCTGCCAAGCTGCTGGATCCGATCCACAGACACAGCGGGAGCATCAGCACATCTCCCTGCCTGCCACATCTACCCACGATACTCAGAGCAGCTTTCTGAATGCTGTGAGCCTGGGGGGAGGGTGAGAGGTTTTGCATATTGCCCCTGCTCCCTGTGCAATCTTGCAGCTCCTGTTGGTTGACTTCAGGCCAATGGGAGCCGCGTATTTGCAGGATAGGCAGCATGCAGAGTACTTCTCCCCCTGGGCTCACAGCATTAAAAGCAGCACGCATGGCTCCTCTCTCTCCCCCCACCTGGCTGAGGAACCTGCTGGGTAGGGCTGCAGGCTGGAAGCCACCCAGGTAAGCGCTCCTGGACCATAGCCTGCCTTTGTCACCTCAGCCCTTCCTTCCCTCAACACTCTGCTGCCTCACCTATACCTCTAGCCCATGTAACCGAAACCCTCTGCACCCATACTCCCTCCCTCCCCCTGACCCTGCATCCCCTTTTACACTCCTCCAGGTCATAACTCCCTCCCAGACCCTTCATCCTCTCCTATGCTGCTCCTTCAGGTCAGAATTCTCTCCTGCACCCATGCCTCCTCCTGGACCCTGCACCTCCTCTTGCACCCCAGTATCTTGCTCCACATCACGTCCGTGTCCTTTATCCAAATTCCCTCCCAGATGCCACACCCCCTCCTGCACTTCAGTCCCTTATCCCAAGCTCTCATCTGCACCCAACCTCCATCCCAGACCTCACTTCTCCTTCATTAATGTAATGGAAGAGTGTGGCCCTTGACCACTTAACCAAATTCTTTGAGTGGCCCCGCCATCAAAAATTATTGCCATCCCCTGATATGGAGCTTAATATGGAGTAGTCTCTAGGAACACTTTTGTAGTTCTTATACGTTGTTTTACCTCTTCTGACATTAATTGTTATATTCTGACTATTTATTTTAAATAGTGGTTATATGTCCAACCAAACACAGAACATTGTGAGTGGGATGCTTTTTGGAACAGGGCTATGGGTAGCCCTTATTATGACAATGCGATACTCACTGAAGATGCTGCTTTCCTATCATGGATGGATGTTTGCTGAACATGGCAAACTTTCCCAGGGAACCCAGATTTGGATGGTAAGGAAATTTTGTCTGTGTTTATTTTAATTGTAGCACTGATAAGATTTCTTAAATACCATTTGATCTCTTTTTGTATCAATAAGCTCTTAGGAGCCAACTCTTCAGTTATTTTTCAGTTTTCCTTTGTTCCATTCATCCTTAATGTTGCTATACATTGGAATGACTTTGTACAATGCTGTTTATTCTCCCAACATCTTTGGTTGCTGTCATCCATTTGCCACCTGAGTTGCTGGTGAAATAGTTCTGATAGTTGTGTAATTTGCTAATCCACCCAAAGCAGGGGATCAAATATATGGCTTACAGCTACCTTTCTTTAGTATGGAAGTACAATTAAGAGATAAGTCCCAGTATACAATGCTGCATCTTCTAGACAATAAGCTGATCTAACTGCTTAGAGGAGGCTCGAACAATGAATTTTGGTCAGTGTATACTCCTGTAGGAATTCTGCTCCAAAAAAGTAAAAATTCTGCAAACAACATTTTGAAATTCTGCAAATTATGTAGTTTTATTTTGACAAATATAATCATGACAGTTTCAGTTACTTTGGAGATTTATTTCAAAATACATGTCAGCAAGCATATAGAAATACAACCACCCTCCCCCAATACAGATCTACAAAAAATGCCCCCAGGAGTAGAGTTAAAGTAACCTCTCTCAACCCAGTTCTTGCTTCTCTGCCACTCTCCCCTCCCCAATCCCAGCTGGAGGTTCAGAGACCCACTCTCACCCCTTAGAGCTCAGCCATAGGGGAGCAAATGTGATCTCTCTTTCATAGTAGAGAAATGCTGTAATCTACTAAATTTAAAGTCAAATAGTTGCAGCCCTCTGCTTCTTGGCCACATGGTTTTCAATTGGGTAGAGTTTAGATACTCTTGACCCAAAATAACTGGAACAAGATCAGCAGTGTACCATGATTGTGCCTGATGAACTGAGAGAGAATTGCAAAGGAAGAGCAACACAAAAGATAAATCTTCTAGGGAGTCTAAAATAGTAAAGCTCCTTTTACTGCTCCCCTATGATCCACCTTCTCATTTGTTGTTTAGTTTAATTTCATTTACTTGAAATCTTTTCATTCAAATTAATTTCCATATAGTTGAAAATAAGGAAGTTTGGCTACTTTACAGTTTTCTATAGCTATTTTGGTCCACAGAAAGTATATATTTGTTGTGAGCTAAGAGTTCTTGCTCCTATTGCTGGTCATGATTCTCTGGAGAAGAATCTATGTAAAAAGCTGTCATATACCTCAAATGATATGTTTAGAGAGGTCTATGTTTGCATGTGAGTGAATGCTTTTGTGGGAGGGAATTTTCTATTAATCAAATTCAATTGTCTGCGCTAAATACTTACATCTTGTCTTGCCTTGGTTGAATTAAAAATTATGTAAAAACCCTATTAAGATAAACATGATACACTTTATCCATCACATCCTCCAAGTTTACTTCAATTTGTGGATAACATGTAGTGACTATATTATGGAGAATGTTCAGTGTGGGCATGTAGAATGATAAACTAAAATTTTCCTAAAGTGAATATGTATGTAATGAAATTTTTGATAGTTCCCTCAGATACAGTAATGAGAGCCTCCTGATATGAATTTGTACAGTACAGGTGCTGAATGGTAAGCCACAGTGCACTCTGTCAAAATTGCTTGGCATTCTCACTGGCAGTTTTCAGCATGTCCTACTAAATGGATATTTTAAATGGTTAATCCTCCCTTATAATGCTAAGCTTGTGCAGTGTGAACTGTAATGCTAATTATGTCTGGATGCCTACATTCTATTTCTGGGTACTGTTAGGAAGCTGTTTCTCTTCATGGTTGTAAGTGTGTCTTCCATTATGAAGAAGTGTCAGTCTTGAGAGGCAACACTGGAACAACTCAGAACTAGTTATTATACTTTGGAACTACATACTGCCTCATATTTTTACTGCTATCTAACATAGCTGGTTTACTAACTTATAATGGTGGTGATGGTGTAAACTTACTTCCTTCATAAACAGGGTTGACCTTCATAGCTTTTTACATCTTTGATATTCCATTATTTATTTTTGGACTATTTCCCATTTATTTCTCCACTGTTCCCTTGAGTAAGAGCATTCAGAGGTGTGGTAAACACAAATTTACTGATCTTCATTCAGAAATAAAGTCTCGTGATTGGAAAATTGGACTGTCTGTCTGTTCACCCATAGTCCAAACAGCTTTGAAAGTGATTGGAAACTAGTAATGCTATTCTTACAGTTTTTTTGTTTTTTTAAAGGAAATTTATTATTTTAAATTCCTGTAGCATTGCCAATATTAGGGAGAAAACCTGTTATAGTTTCAGATTTATTCTGTAGAGAGCAAGGAGAAATTTTGTTTGTGTGCTGTGAAGGCAACACCCCTTAGAGTGAGATCATTGTATCTGGATATGAAATAAGAGATGCTAACTGGAGAATAAATTACTTAAATTATTTTTTGACAAATAATTTGAGAGGTATCCAAATTGTACGAGACTGTATTTTCTGTTAACAAGCTTACTATAGGAAACAAAGGCTACATAAAAGTGAATATTGCTATGATATCAGGTGAGCAAATATATGCCTTGTCATGGGAGAATTTGCACCTGAGATGGTTCAAGTATTCTGAACCCAAATTGTCCCCTCCCCACATGAAAAGATGCAGAAAGCATCCTCCTGATGGAAATTTCAATGGCCATGATTATCCCCATTCCCCCCGTGAAAAGTGTGAGGCTTGCCCACCAATCTTATAGCTCCTTTGGAGGATAGGGCCACCCATGTGAAGATCCTGTGCTCCAGGTGGCCTCCTGGATCTTTTCTGGCAGTCATGCTACTGGGAATAACTGGAAGCTCTGAAGGGGTCAAGGCAGGGAGAAACTGAAAAGGTAGTATATCTGATCACAGAAAAACTGACTTTTCTGTATAAGTTCTGCAGGGGCAGAGGGGGAATGAATTGAATTGCCATCCTGTGCCCACCAAGTAGTTGCCTCTTCTATTGAGGATGCTGAACTACACAGAGAAGTCTCCACTGGTTTCTTGGGTATGGGTGCAGGGAGAACTGAGTGAAGACTGATTCTTCTTTTCATACTTAAGTGGAGTGATCCATTATGAGGAACCCTTCCATGTGTGTCATGATCTGTCCCTTTGTTTTATGGTAGCACTAGAAGATTTACCTGGTATTGCTTGGTCCTTCAGGGCAGGGGCTGTGGGTGTAGCGAGTGCAGGAGTTGGGAGCTGAAAGGTGTGGGGAGCCTGAGGTCAGAGAGTGGAGATACAGGAGTCAGGTCAAGGGGTAGAGCTCACGGGAGGATGTGGGAAGTGTGAGGGGGCTACCGGCGATAGGTAGAAGGGGTTCTTTCCACATGAAGTCTGAAGGTGATTTTTTTTTCAAGACACTTGAAGGCCCTACATACACTAAATCTTGGTTTTTAACACTGGCACCTTCATATTTGTTTTCACTGTGTGCTTAGAAACTGTGCTATGGACTTGTTGGAACAGTGGTTTCTGTTAAGAGTGAACTTTTGGTAGAAACCCACACTGTCCATGTTAGATTTGGATACCAGGCTAAAACTATATAGGAAAAATGATTCTCAAACATTTTAATTTTTTAAAATGTGGTTGTAGCTATTCCAGCAGTAATGGGCAGGGCTCGACAATCTATGTAATCTACTCGCCCTGGGCGAGTAGATTATATCCTGGAAGAGCCAGGTTCGGGCGATCTGCGCATGCGCAGAAAGCCGGACAGCACGGCTGGCGAGCAAGACTCGCTGCGGCTCGGTGAGCCCTGGTGATGGGAATAGGTTTTGAGAGATCCTGTAGATACAAGTTCAGTTTTCAGTCATTCCAATCCTCTAGTTTTCAAAAATGTAAACATATTCAGAAAAAAAACCCACTTTACAAAGAACTTCTATGGTCAGTGTCATAGACATTTTCCTTTCAAAGGCCTTTAGGTTGTGAACTGAGACATTTACCAGATTTTCACCGTATAACAGAGACTGTGTCTTAGTAGATAAAGCTCTAGATTGGAAAACTCACTTGCTTATTCATCAGGCTAGTGGCTGAGCTGGGGAAACAAGGTTTCCTGCGTTCCAAAGTGTGCTAAGGCAATAATGATGTTTACCTTCTTTGTAAAGTCTTAAGATCTATTGAAGAAAAGCTAGGTATTAATTTTCATCTCTCTCAACTTTTCAGTCATTTTGAATGTAATAGAGTGTTTCTTTTTTTTTTAATTTCAGAGACTGGTAAAGCTTTTCTCAGGTTGTAAACCAATGTTGTACAGCTTTCAGACATCTCTGCCACGACTACCGGTCCCAGCTGTTAAAGACACTGTAAACAGGGTGTGTTGCTGGAAGAGTTGAATTCTTTTTTTCACAATTTGATTGCAAATATAGTATGATTTTCACTGTCTTGCATATGATAAATGTACTTAAATGGTTAATGGTATTAAGATCTCCTTCCTATAAGATCCTTCCTATTTTAGTAACAGATTAAAATAGTTAAATGTCAATTAAAATAATAGCTATGAAAGACCAAAAATAATTCTGAGTTAAACTGACACTTTTCCCTTTAATCTTATCTTTGGGTCTAGGCTCTCATGATATTGCATGCCTTGTCAGGTACAGCAGCACATGGAGTGTGATTATCTGGGATAGAGAGACTTTGATATCCCTTGCTTTGATTATCCGTATTGTGTACTCTTAATGTAACTTAAGTATACTGCTTCTGTTATAATAGGCTTTGTATTGGGAATTCCTTTAAGGCAAGATTCCAACTACAAAAGGTTCTTATAGGGTTTTTTTTAATTCTTGCAAGTAAAGAACCTCTGCTGGCCCTAGGCAAACTAACTATATCTAAAAATGAATATGCAACAAAAATAGTTATAGCAATTAACTCAATCCCATGTAACTGAAAAAATCCCTAAAAGGACTCAAAATTAAGGAAATACTTAATTCATAATATAAAATGTCTCACCTATTAAAAGGAAAATCCCTTTCCCAAAAAATTCTAAAATTCTGTGTGAATAGATGTGCTTTCATTTATGATTTGGTAACAAGTAGTGAGTAGATGGGATAGAGATGGGAAGTGAGAGTACCAAATTTGAAGGGGAAAAATTATATAATAGGAAATGAGTTTGTAACTTTCAAGATTTTTGTTCTCAATTATTTTTTACTAACATCTGTTACAGCTGAATCCCTGTAAACTGAGGTTAAGTACTTCTCTTTGTTTATTAAACTCTGTTGGTGCCATAGCTTTCAACGCTCCTTGTCACTTATTCATAAAGACTACGTCTACACTGGCATGAATTTCTGAAAATGCTTTTAACGAAAAAGTTTTCCGTTAAAAGCATTTTCAGAAAAGCACGTCTAGATTGGCAGGATGCTTTTCCGCAAAAGCACTTTTTGTGGAAAAGTGTCCGTGGCCAATCTAGACACGGTTTTCCGCAAAAAAGCCCCGATCGCCTTTTTCGCGATCGGGGCTTTTTTGCGGAAAACCGTGTCTAGATTGGCCACGGACACTTTTCCACAAAAAGTGCTTTTGCGGAAAAGCATCCTGCCAATCTAGACGTGCTTTTCTGAAAATGCTTTTAACGGAAAACTTTTTCGTTAAAAGCATTTTCAGAAATTCATGCCAGTGTAGACGTAGTCTTTATGAATAAGTGACAAGGAGCGTTGAAAGCTATGGCACCAACAGTAATTCCTTTTTGTGTTTATTCTAGTATCTGGAATCAGTTCGACCACTTATGGATGATGAACAGTTCAAAAGAATGGAGGGCCTTGCCAAAGATTTTGCAGTTAATCTTGGACCAAAACTGCAATGGTATTTGAAACTGAAATCCTGGTGGGCCACAAACTATGTAAGCAGATGACCCAAGTGCTCTTGTGAAAGCACATAGTTTGTTTACCTCTCCCATTGCATTTTTTCCTAATTTAATGCATGCTTTTTAAATTTTCTATGTTCTGTAATATTTGAGGAAGTCCCAAACCAAAATTACTAAAAATGCCTTGCATCTTGATTGTTAATGTCTTGTATACCCATTAAGTGTTACAGTACCACTGTGTAATAGGTATTGTACAGTCCAACATCAGAGTTAAAAACTGACCAATCAACCACACACCTCATTTGGAACTGGAAGTAGGCTATTGGGCAGCAGCATTGACCAAAAAAACCCCAAAAACCGAAATATAGTACAGCACCGTGTTAAACGTAAACTACTTCATGATAGCAGTTTTTGAAGTATCTAAAAGGCTGTTACAAGGAGGAGGCAGAAAAATTGGTCATCTTGGCTTCTTATAAGAGGACAAAAAGCAAGGGACTTAAATTGCAGCAAGGGAGATTTAGTTTGGACATTAAGAAAAACTTTCCAATTGTCAGGGTGGTTATACACTGAATGAATTGCCTAGGGAGGTTGTGGGATCTCCATCACTGGTGATATTTAAGAGCACATTGGACAGACATCTATCAGGGATGATCTAGAGTGCCTACTCCTGCTATGAGGGCAGGGGACTGGACTCCATGACCTTTCAAGGTCCCTTCCAGTTCTATGATTCTGTGATTCTATTAAAAAAAATCATTTTTCTTCTGCATAGTTAAGTTAAAGTTCAGTTACAAATTCTCAAAAGAACAGCCATAACATTTTGTTTAGAGTGCCAAACAATCTCCATTGCTAGGATGTTTGTAACTCTGAGGTTCCAAAGTATTGATATTCCTGTTTTCTAGCTGGATAAATGTAACCATTATCTCAATAATTTGCTCAGTGTGGCACAATGAGTAAGTGGCAGAGCCATGAGTAGAACTTCAGAATTTGTGTCTTATTACTATAGACCAGGCTGCCTGTCTACCATTGAACATTTCTCAAAATCTACTAGATTTATCCCGTGTTGCTCAGGTCCTTAACTCAATTTTTGTGGTTTTGGAAAATAAAAAAAGAAAATGTCCATGTTTCATTTAAATCATTGCTCTGGGATGGAGCTGGGGATGAAGGGTTCAGTATGCAGGTTACCCCAGCCCTCTCTCACTGCAGCAGCCTGGGTCCAAGTGAGAAGCATCTCTTCATTACCACTACAGCTCCAGCAGGCAGAGCCAGAGGAGTGGTGCCTGTCCCCAAGCTGGGGCAGGTCCAGGTTAATCTGTCCCCTGCATTCCCCACAAGAGAGCAAACTGCATGCTTTAGCCTCGCTCCCTGAGGAAGGAGAACAGCCAGAAATGTTCCTATATGAATTGGGATAAAAGGGAGCTTCAGCCCCTTTCCCCCACCAAGGGAGCCTGGGGGATGGGAGGATTGGGGCTGGACAGTCCTGGACACAGTGGGAGTATGCCTCCAGCCAGCCCCTTTCACCTGTCTGGTTATGGTCTTTTGTTTGTATAGTTTTATGAAAAGCAATCCCATTCCAGACACATCCCATTTTCTTGGCATAACCAAACCATTACCTTGCTTTAAGTTATGAAAGAGGAAGCTGTATACCAAATTTGGTGATCCTAGCTCTTACCATTTAGGAGGAGTACTTGGACGAACGGACACACACTCACTCACTCACTCACTCACTCACTCACTCACTCACTCACTCACTCACTCACTCACTCAAATATATAGCAGATTAAGTTAACATGTAACTTCTTCACCAAGCTGGTCTAGGATGCAGGGAATAGAAAGGCAGTGTGATTTCTCCTGCCCTCCTTACCTGTACTGAGTATGAACTTAATGCAGATGTGAGTCTGGTCAATTATGTATACATATTAAAGAAGAAAACAAAGTTGTAGCCACTGGAATGGGTGGGTGAGGGTTTTTGTGTGTGTATTGGGAGGGTGGGGGAAGAGAGAGACACATGCCTGTTGTTGGCCCGTTATATAAATCCTTAAACAGTAAGGCATCCATTGGCACTTTAATGCCTAACAATTTTATTATGGCATAAGCTTTCATGAGGAGCAACTCAATTCATCAGATGCATGAAGTGAAAGACAAACATACAGTAGGGATACAGAGATTGGAGTGATACATTTAGAGCGAATTCAATCAGGGTGATGTGGATAAGAAGGTGAGAATATGTAAAGTGGAAAATGACTTATTGTTATGAGAGAGCCATTCCTAGTCCCTATTCAGATCCATTCTGATGTTGTCAAATTTGCATATGAATTCCAGTTTAGCAGTTTCATAGGGCAGTCTGTTTTTGAAGGTTTTTTTGCTTGAGAATGTTTCCTTGTTTTTGCTGGAATAGGCTAACACGGCTACCTCTCTGAAACGTAAATCTTAGCTATATATGATAGCTTGAGCAAGCTTATGAACTTAGAGTGACCCTACCCTTATGAATAATGTTTCATATGAAAGCTTTATTAGGTGCAGTATAAGGACACTAAAAATACCATCTGAAAAGAAGATGGAAGATTGCTTCAAAAGCTGCTTACCTGAGTGTTAAAGCTGAATATCTGACCTTAGCTTTCTGTGTTCTTGTGATTTTTTTTTTTTCCCCAAACAATGACACTTCAGCATTCAGAATTAATTATTTAAAAAAGCCTTTCCTTCTGCATGGTGTGTTGTAGAACTGCTACAGTTGAGGATGGAATCCATTGAAAAGCAAAGGTACAGGCTAATGAGCGCATGCTAAGTTTTGTTGTCCTTTATAGGTTAGCGACTGGTGGGAAGAATATATCTACCTCAGAGGACGTGGGCCAATTATGGTTAATAGTAATTACTATGCAATGGTGAGTAAATTTACTAAACCTTTTTATAGAACACTCCTTATTAGGATTCCTATTACCTTTTGTTTAGTACTTCCTCTCTGAACTCTATTGCTAGTAAGGGATATAATCTGTGCTTTCTTCTTGCTGGCCATAATCTGCACATAATGTCCTACAAAAGCACTGATGTCTTTTAATATGGAAATTATTGTAATAAACTGAGTTCCTTCATCTTTAGCTCTGCTTAATTAGGTAGGATTCTATTTCAGATTCAGGAGCTCAAAGAGTATTATTACTTCTAGTAGAATACTAGAATGTATGTTTACTGTGACATACATTGCCTCAAGGCTCATAAATGGTAATGACTGATTTACCACCCACTAGGATTTCTGAGAGGAATCCAAGTCTCTGTGTTTTGGATCCCATGGGGTATGTTAAGCTTCAACACTTATTACAGTGAGGGGAGGTAGTTCTTCTGTCGCTGAAATAAATCCCCCTCTCCAAGAGGAAATAGCTAAGTTCTCTGAAGAATACTTCCATTGACCTAGTGCTATCTACACTGAAGCGTAACTATGTTCCTTAGTGGTGTGAGATTTTAGAATTCATAAGCTGTGCAGACGTAGCCCCAGTTCATCACAGCTCAGCATATTGTTATACTAGATGCTGCTTTAAATTATTTAATATGTACATGTTGGAAGTAAAAATATGAACTTCTGTTATGAGAAAACAAGTACTAGTCACCTCCAGGTTTCAGTGACTCCCGGATATTTTATTTGAATTAAAGTTTTAGTATAGGTTGAACCTCTCTAGTCAAGCACCCTTGGCACCTGACTGCTGCTGAACTAGAGAATTTACCAGACCACGGAAGGTCAGTATTATTTGGCAGCATTAATAACACTTCCACTGCTTACTGGGTTCTCAAAAGACATTCAGGGTTGAATTAGAGCTAAATAACAGCACAAAACACTGAGAGCCAGGACTTGTGGCTGTAGACACACTTTATGGGACCACAGGAAGCTTGGCCACACCCATGATAAGTGGACATCTGGCTAACTAAAATCTTGCTGGACTGTCGATGTTGCTGAGTACCAGACTAGAGAGGTTCAACCTGTATTGCTCTTCTTTGCAAGTGTGGTGCCTGGTATATACCTAAAATGTAGTTTGGCCCAGCTATGTTGCACAGGGATGTGAAAAATTCACCCTTGAGAGATGCAGTTAAATTGATCTAAGTCCAAATGCTAATTTGTTGAAAGAATTCTTCCATGAGCCTAGCTACTGCCTCTAGAAGGGATGTATTTACTACAGCAATGGAAAAACCCCTTCTGTTGCTGTAGCAAGTACCTGTGCTACAGTGCTGAGAGAGAGCTGTGCCGCTGCAGTGCTTGTATTATAGACCTAGCCTAAATAAACTGTTTGGACTAGATTTCAGTCAACAATTCTTCAGACTAACATGTGCAAAGACTGGATAGGGTTGTTTTTGTTCTGTGCTTATGTGGTGGTGGTCTTCAGCTAAGCATGGCAGAATTCGTTAAGACTGTCTAAAGCAATGGTCCCCAACCTTTTGGGGCTGCTGGGAGCCCGGGGGCAGGGCCGCGCATGCTCCTGGGGTGGGGGCTGTGCATGCGCTGCGCGCCCAGGGTTGGGGCCGCACATGCGCCGCTCGCCTGGGGTGGCACCTTGCATGTGTTGCTCGCCCGGGGTGGGGGTCGTGCATGCACTGGGTACCCGGGCCCTGAGGCACAAGAATGGCTCGGGCCGTCCCTGGTGGGTGCACATAAATGCCCCGGTGGGCGCCATGGCGCTTGCGGGCGCCGTGTTGGGAACCACTGGTCTAAAGCTATTTGAGGAGCAAATACTGCTATTATTTTGTGACTAAACTTGTTAAAAGTAAGAACTTGTTGAGCACAGTATGGCTAGTGATCTGGCAAGTTTCCCTACCCGTAAAGCCTTTTCTGTAATTACAATGGAATAAATTATGGGGAAAATTGTATTTTGACTGATGCATGATTAATGGTAATTATAGTAATTGGTAATTATAGTACCTAGATTAACTTCCCTTTCTTCTGTCTTCAGGACTTTCTGCATGTTATTCCCACCTCCCTGCAAGCAGCTAGAGCTGGTAATGTTATCCATGCCACCCTTCTCTACAGGAAAAAATTGGACAGACAGGAAATCAAGCCAGTATGTAAATTCACTTAAATACTTTCAAATTTACTTTATAAAAAATCAACAAACTCCACTCGTGTGACCTTCCTCTACCATGGAAGCAAAAGGAAAACTTCCTTTTGCTATAGTAGTGTTTGAATTTTAAGTTTGCTGTGAACTGCTCTCCACTGCAGGACAAAATAGTCACATTACATTTGGCTATTTTAGTAGAAAATAATAGTACACATATATGTTAAATAGTATGCTAATATATTCAAGCCCCAAATATGTGGACTACCATGTAGGAGAATGCAATTCTGTTTTGGGAAGGCAAGTTTTAAGGGTTGTGCTGTAGGATTTTAATGAACAAAAGATAGATGATAGTGAAAATGACATCTTTCAGGAGCAGCAGAAATATTGTGTAGAAATAGTTTTCATTCTGTGTTTACTCTGCATATTTAGAATACAGAGAGTAGCATGTGTGCATGCACACTTGAACAAAAGAGCAGTAGAGCCAACCTTGAGTCCTTACATTTAGGCAAATAAACCTAGCAAAATGGAAGTACTTATTTAATGGGCATATCAAAATGGAAAGTGAAATATGACAATAATATCATACATTTCAGTGAGCAGAAATCCATCCAATTACATTTGCAGTCTATCCTCACTGTACTTCAGTTCTAAAATAAGTAGCATTGTGCTAAAATTTGAAAAACTTCCCTTTTAAATCCTGAAAACGAAATGTAAAAATTCTTTAACTTTTTCAAAAAGTGCAACTTTGAGGAGAATAATAGAAAGCACTAGAAAACCAGGGGTTTAATTCCTGGGTAAAGTCAAATAATTTCACAGCCCTTTGAGGAGCAGACATTATGTGCTAAATAAGTTGGGAGGCTAAAGGCATTTTCAAACCAAAAAGTATCATGCCTTTGAAATGGATACTGCTTACCAGTAATGCATGACATAGGGCTGTAGGAACTTACAGGACAAATTGATTTCCAGTCTTTTTTTTTTTATAAAGCAGGCATGTCAAAGTGATTTCTACTGTTATGTTGCAACTGGAGCAGTTCCAGGATGTGCCTGGAAAATCATATTAGAGGCACATGCAAACCAAAACCCAGCAACTAAATAGTTCCAAACTTTGGGGAAGTTCAGATCCTGATATGGGCCTTGTGACGTTAGTCCATTTCACTGCTTCCTGTAAAAATAAACAATAAGCTTAGACAATTCATAAGCACTATTAAATGGTGTTAGATATCTTAAGAAATTCATACTTAGAAATGTTACCGGTACCTTCCTTCTCTATTTTAGTGGGATCGTAGTTTGTTTTAAAAACAGTCATTGAATGAGTCTGTGGGGTTGACTTATTTGTTTTGTATAGAGTAATGCACAGATAATGCCATGCTAGTGGCTTTCCTGTTATCCATTCAGTGGTCTTCTCCTTCCCACTGTGCCTTCAGATTGCATTTAGTTTCTGCTCTATTTTGTGGCCCAGTTTCATTTAATGAATAAATGTGCTAACGGAGGAAATCAGTTCTACATGAGACATAGGATTACACGGATGCTTTAAGAGACTGAATCCTAATAAGAATCTGCTCTCTTGCATATATATATACACACACAAAATATGTTCACTGGTATGCCATATAATTGTGAGGAATCAGAGGCTGTGAAGAAGCATCCCCCAAGTGATATGTGAAGCTCAGCCTCAATGATTGGAACGGAGAGATCCTTGAATCTGTTAAATCCACAGTTTCATTTGATCATCTGCTGCTGAAGGGGAAGCTTGTGGCAGCTTGGCAGTGTACAAATGACTAGTGGAAACACTCTGGAACCTAACATGGAGTAGTCCAGGGGGTGACTAGAAAAAAAGGAGAAAGTTTAGAACAGATGTGAATCCTCATGTTGTCCTACAGTCTCTCTAACCAGCATGTGTGTGTGTGTTCTCTCAATTTGTTAATTGTATGTATAAAAACGCAATTATAACATACGTTTGCGGCATAGATTCTTCTGATGGGATCCACTGTTCCGCTCTGCTCAGCTCAGTGGGAGCGAATGTTTAATACCTCCCGTATCCCAGGAGAGGAAACAGGTAAGAGGGGAGATCCAAGGACGAGGAACGTCAGGGAATCCAAACAGTCTGTGGAATGTTTCCGAAGGGTGTCTACATCATAGATCCAAAAGCTACTAGACCTCTACTTTCAAAGAACAAACCTGAAAAAGGAGTGAAAGACACTCTGATATTAATGTGGATGTATGCCATGACCATTTCTCAGCGATTTGCAAATTAGTGTCCTTGTTTCAGACATTTCTCTTTTTTGACTGACTTCAATTAATACGGTAGTATTCTGACAGATTAATGGTTTTGGCTGTTCCTTTCCTTTGTCTAAAAGCTGGCCTTTGGAAACTGCTGCCCTGTTTTATTTCATATTTACTTTTTCTCCATTCTGTTCCTTCAGGTCCTTTTGTTTTTTATCTACGTTTTTACCTCCATGAAAGCTACGTTCTCTGTGAGATCTCGGAATCATTTGAAATCCTTTTACTTGGTTTTTGACTTTCCTTTTTCCCTTTCAGCTTATGATTCACAATACCATCCCAATGTGCTCTTCTCAGTATGAACGTATGTTCAACACTAGTCGTATACCAGGCATAGAGACAGGTACAGTTTTAGTCCTGTCAATGTTTTTAGCCCCTACTTGCATCTTAACCTTCTTTGTGCATAATAGGAGATGTCACAGTTGAAATCACCTTTAGTAATAATGCTTTTTATCCAAACTGACTTCTCCATAACATGCTGAAAGATAATTGTATTGCTTTTTATAATAAGGGCTCAATTCTTTAAAGATATGAACTACTTCCACAGTGTTGTGAAGGCTTGTCAATATAATAAAGGTAGTATCTACTAGTTAGAATGGTGGGAGGAGTCTACTCCTGGATTCTGTTCCTGTGTCTGCCATTTATTGTGTGACACTAGGCAGTTCCCTTTATTTTTCTGTGCTTAGTTTACCTGTTTTACCTTACAGAAATTGTGAGATTTAAATAACTGTAAAAGGCTTGATGCGGGTCTTCAAACATAAGTCAGTATAAATAGGACATAGTTAGGGCCCTACCAAATTAATGGCCATGAAAAATGCATTACGGATCATGAAATTTCATCTCTTTCCATGAAATATGGTCTCTTGTGTGCTTTTACTTTATACAGATTTTACAAGGAAAACCAGTATTTCTCAAATTGGGGGTCCTCACCCAAAAGAGAGTTGCAAGGGTCAGGTATCTTCTGCGCTGCCTTCAGAGCTAGGCAGCCAAAGAGCAGCAACTGTTGGTCTGGCACTTAGCTCGGAAGGCAGTGCCCAGCGGCAGCAACGTAGAAGTAAGGGTGGCAATACCATACCATGTCCTCTTTACTTCTGCCCTACAGCCTTAAGAGTTGGATGGCCAGAGAGTGAGTGGCAGCTGATAACTGAGGGCTGAGCAGCTGCACAGAAGGGTGCACTGCCATAACATGCCATCCATCAGCAGCAGCACAGAAGAAAGGCAGTTATGCCTTCAGAGCTGGGCTCCTGGCCAACAGCTGCCACTCTCTAAGCTGCCCAGCTCTGAAGGCAGTGTTGTTGCTTGCAGCAGCATAGCAATAAGGGGCAGTAGTACTGCAACCCCCGCTACAATAAGTTTGCAACCCCCCTCCACCCAATTTATTTTTAAACAAGACCCCTACAGCTACAGTTCCATGAAATTTCAGATTTAAATTGTTGAGATCATGAAAGATCATTTTAAAAATCCTGTTACCATTAAATTGACTAAAATAGACCATGAAGTTGGCTGGGCCATACACATAGTAGATAGGTAGACATGATAGATAGCTGCATTTCTGAAAAATGCAACTTTAAGTGAAGCTATTTTAAAGAAATCCATTTTCCCCATAAGAATTAATGTAAATGGGGAGGTTAGATTCCAAGGCAATCTTTTTGCCAGACAAAAGGTTTCATATACATATACAGTATCAATTTAAAAAAAAATTAAAAAGCAAATTAATACAAGTATAAATTTAAAATTTTAAAGAAACAATGTAGTATAGTAAGTAAGAGAGAGAAAATGTTTGCTGCGGGTCAGTGCCCCTCCCTGCTGTGTGTACGCAGGGGTAGAGAGATGCAGTTAATTAGTGGGTAGATTGTGTGCATCCAACTGAAGGAGCTGCCCCAGGAAGGAACTTGGCCCATGACAGCCATAGAGCACCTGAATAGCCAAATGCTGCTGGATACCCCAGAGCGTGGGGCCCCAGGGGGAGTGGCATGGAGGAAGATGGAAGAAGTCTTGGGGCCATCACAGGCAGTTTTTGAGACCGGATACATCCAGCTGACCCTAATGCATGGTCCCAAGTAGCTCCTTGGAGGTAGGTGCCTTGTTTTGTTCCCTAGCGGAGTCCCCAGACGGGAAATGCCTTCCCAGCTATGCCTCCCAGCAGTGCTGGACCTGTGAGCATCACCATGTATAGGTACCACCCTGTTGATGTCCCTGTGCAGAGGGCATCCCCAGCCTAGATTTGCAGCCCAGCTGCTTTCAGGAAACATTTGGATTAAGGTTCTGCTTTGACTCTAGCCCTGATGAGCTTCCCCATTTTGGGACCCTGGTCTGGTGGCCAGCGGAGGCCCGCAGGGGTCAGTAACCCACAGAGCTGACCTGCTGCCAGTTTGCTAGCTGCTTCATGCAGCTGGGCAAAGGAGTTGCTCTTTCCACTACTGTAACTAGCTTTGGTTGGGCTGCCACCCTCTGTGTTCTTACTCCCTTCCAGCAAATGGAATGCAAAGGAGATGGAATGGAACATTGTGTACAAAACTGTACTCAGGAACAAGATCGCCAATGCTGCATGCACGCGGACACACACACACACACACACACACACACACCCACCCTCCCACTCTGGCTCTAT